ATACTGTAATTTGCATTTTGCTGTTAGTGTAGTGATGTTATGGTTTTGGTGAGTTGCTATCTTGTATTGCCTGTATATATTTCTGAAATACCATAATTCTGTTTGCAACTGATTACTTGTTACATATTTGTCAAATCTTTTATAGGGAAATTCGTAATGTATTGGTAGCACAAGTTCATGAAAGAAAAGTTAGTTTACATTTAAATGGATGCTTTGCAGCTGAACATCTAGTATTTTCCTGCTATTTTGTCCTAAAACAAGCCATGGGAAATTCTAAATGGCTAGATTTATAAACTGTTACAAATAATTTTGTTGTAATGTATATGCTAAGCAGTGGGATACATACATAGTATAAAATGGTACTGAAGGGACAGTAATAATGTAACCAGTGGTACAGGTAATGTAATTTTGGAGGTCTAGCACAAATGCTCCAAATTTCTCAATATTTCGGTTGCAGATGCTTTGCTTATCCATCTCATCTTGCCTTGACTTTGACTGCCAGTCTTCATAATGGTAAATGTTCAGAATGTTCAGGAAATGCACAGAAAGAGTGATGTGAAACTGGTTCAAGCTGTGATTAAAATTCCACAAATAATCAGCCTAATCAAGTTTTAGTCACAATGACAACTCCTTGACTATCTTAAAACATGATGACTGTAGTCCTGTGGCTTGGTGCATTTGGAAAATAAGAGCTTTACAATGTTTCAGGCAGGATTTGATTTTTAAATCATTTGGTAAGTATTTTATTAATTTAGATGTTTACATTTAATTTGGATTTTTTAAAATGTAAATTGGATTTTTTATTAATGAAATTCTTATTGACTAGTGATTTAAGTCATGATTTAAATCATGACTTAAATCACCTTGCTTTGTTTAGCTTATTAATTTGATATTTTTGGAGGGTCGAGTCTGTGTGAGTCTGTGTGGATGTAATTATGAAAAGCTAAAAGTATTATCTACTTTTTAAATTTTTTCTCTTTGAGATGATTCAGGGAAGATCCTCTGGGAACATCTCTGTTTGTTTATCTTCCTGCTGTACAAAGTGATTGTACTGGCAGTACAATCACTTTGTACAAGTTGAAGGAGTTTGGGTGACTCGCTGTGTTGCATTTGTCATAAGCCAAATTGATCTCTGTACTTTACTTAGTCTCTTTTTTCGTTCTTAAATACATACCTTGAAAGCCTTTCCTGCACTTTTTCATTTCACAGCCCTTTCACAAACTCCTGGTCTGTCTCTCTTAACCTCTAGCTACAGGCTTCTTTGCACCTAAGCCTCAGGACTGTCCACATGTGTGCCTTTCTCTTGCATTCCGAGTCCTGTCTTCTTTGGCAAAACCAGAAGGTAAATCTGCTTCCTTAGCAGTGTACAGTGGTGTCCTAAGCATACCTCTCTATGTGGAACTACTTGGAGTATGCATTGCAGATTTCCCCCAGAATCCTGATGGCTGGAGGCCTTTTGGTTTTATTTAATGAGAATTTCATCTCTCATTAATCTGCATTGGAAGAGACCGTTTTCTCTCTATTGACTTAGGAAAGTTGTCTGTGGTGAATTTCAAAACTTGTGAATTTATTCATGTGCGACACATACATACCAAAACAACACACAACATAGTTGAACCAATTAAAATTCTCGGAACAGTGACACCGATATTGCATTTGTTAATACTGTAAAATATTTTGGAGTAACCTTAGCAAAATGCTAGTACTATCAAGGAAATAAAAATCAACAGTAGATGAATTACTATGTTTTCTTGAAAATAAGACAGGGTCTTATATTAATTTTTGCTCCAAAAAACGCATTAGGACTTATTTTCAGGGGATGTTTTGCTTTATTTTTTCCTGTACAACAATGTACATTCATCCATATACAGTGATGTCACCTTCTTCTGGATGCTGCACAATGGTGGAGAGCAGGGTTTCACTTAACTGGGGCTTATTTGGGGGGTAGGGCTTCTATTACAAGCATCCTGAAAAATCGCAGTAGGGCTTATTTTCAGGTTAGAGTTTATTTTTGGGGAAACAGGGTAATCATATTTGTGAAGTTTATGATAATCAGCAGAAGTTGGTCTCAGATCCTACTCAGTCATGACCCTTTTTCTGCGTTTGGTTCCAATAATTTCTCCTTTTTTTAATGAGTGCACGTTTTAGGGGTTGAACTCACATTTTAGCTGTGTAACATCATCTGAAATGTACAAATACTACAAATACTTGGTCACATGTCAACAACGTTTCAGCACATGTGATGTAATTTATGGTTTTCAGTAGTGTTCTCATTCATCATGATCTGCTCTACACCAGTGGTTCTTAACCTTGGGTTACTCAGGTGTTTTTGGACTGCAACTCCCAGAAGCCTTCACCACCAGCTGTGCTGGCTGGGGTTTCTGGGAGTTGCAGTTCAAAAACACCTGAGTAACCAAGGTTAAGAACCACTGCTCTACACCACCTCCTCTGTTCATGAGTAATTTCTTCATTTGATTGCCATCCACACTAATAGTTTTCCCCCCTCAAAGTTTCTCAGAAACAGAATCAAGAACATCCCTTATGCTAGATGTCACAAGAAGGACCACGGATTAAGAGTATAACTGTTTATTTCATTTTTGTAAGATATATTGAAAAATTTCAAAAAAATTTCTCCTTGGCTGAGATTACAAGGACTGCTGTGCATTTTTCCCCTTGGGTGTTTTGCAACAAATTCACTGAAGTATTCTTTTGCAAAAATGTTGTGTTTTACACAGAAGACCTTGTAGTTTCCACAAAATACAAAGTTTTTTGTCAAATTTTGTGCAAATTGGAAGTTTTTGTTCAAAACTTTTCCTAATTAATAAATGTAGTTTTTATCACTCTCATAGAGGAGTGCAAAATCTTGCAGCATTTGATGGAGTATCTGAATGTGTCAAAATAATTTTTTTGAGGTTGATAAAACTTGTGCATATTTTTTTATATCCTTGCAATACTTCATAATATAGGTCACATCAGGAAGTACTCCATTCAGTGGCTTCTCCTACTATGGTGGTATTGGGGAGTCATAGACTCAAAGAAGCTCTAGACTTAATTTTTTTTCTCAGCTACGTAGAAGTGCAGAACTATAATGATGATCCTCAGCCATTCTTGTCTTGCAGTATTCCATTTCACCATTGCTGTTTTCATCTGGCACTTGCTAACGTGCAGTTGTAGCCTCAGTGCTGGATCCTCTTTGTAATCCCATCACAGCACCAGGACCTGCATTTTTAATACTTTCTGCATAGCAGATATAATCTGTTCTGGCTTCTCTGGCAACCTGAATTTTGCAAGTGCCCTCTTAGTTAGTATATTGCTTGTGTTGTTATCATCAAAACACCTATTCAAGTATCCAGAAAAGGGTGAACCTAAATGCATGGGGAAGGAGAAGGTTATAGCCACCCCTGTGTTTCTTTTCTCTATAGGGAGAAGGCCTGTCTGAAGATAAAATGTCTCCTAACAGGGAGGTATGTCTTATCTTCAGAGTGTCCTTCATGTGGAAATGGTAACAAACAGGGATGTATGGGTAGAATTCTGTCTCTGCTAACCCATTCAGATGAACTTATTTCTAGATATTTGAAGGAGCGTATTCATTTCACAATGGCTGCACAGATGCCTATGGAAAACCAAAGGACTTGCTTGTTTTCTGTAAGCATATGCCCATAGGCATTAACACTTGCCTGCCTATGTTCTTTTTAATTATTATTCAGATCAGAGCTTGAAAGAAGGACTTTTTGTGATTAAAAGTTCAAGAATTCTCCAGCCATCATGAACAGTGGCCATGATAGCAGAGTGATTCTGGGAATCAGAATTTTTCAAAAAAGACAAAAAAAGAGAGAGAACATTTCAAGCTTTTCTTCAGACGTTGATTGCATCTGATACCAGACACAGAAAAAAATAGCAATCTCTATCAAGTTTGGTCCACTTTAAAAGCTGTTGCAGTTGGTGGGCTACACAGAAGTCACCTTCATGGTTTCAACTTGTGCTGTGTGAAGTACTTCCTTTTGTCCGCAAACTGTTATTTACGTAATTGTTGTTGCTTTTAGTTTTGTTTCATTTTGGGGTTTTGGTTGAGTGAAACAAACACTGCTAAAACAAAGATGGGAAACCTCCACCAGCTTTGGCCTTGCTTTGGAAGCGGCCTGTAACCCATTAAATTGCCTGTTTTATCCAAATTAAGGATTGTTCTGTAAAACAAGTCCACACACAGGTAGAATTAAATGCAGTGAACATTGAGTAGAATAAAAAAGACTGCTTCACACCAGAAGGATCGCAAAGAAAAGGCCAACCTCCTGGCCACAGTTAGGATACCACCAGTGAAAAGGTTCCGTCTCTCATCTCTGCTAATGATAGCTCTAAGTGGGCAGGGAACAGGGGACACAGACCTTCAGATATTGGTTTCAGGCTATTGAGACCTTTGCCTTTAATGAGCAATATCTTGAAATGGGAAAGAGTGGACATAAAAGCAGTCCAGAGTAATATGGTTAGAAAAGTGAGCACCAGCAGTTATTTCGATGATAGCACTACTGTTTTTCCTCCTTGTGTAGAAATTAGTGATTCCATGTGATTGTGATGTGCACATTTTTACAGAGGTGTAGATGAAGTAGTGCTACATCTGGCTTCTTACACTACAGTGGAGCCTCGACTTACAAACTTTTCGAGTTACAGACTTGTCTGGCTGCAAAATTTATGTTCGACTTGCAGCCAGAGAATCGACCTACAGACCAGAAAAAAAATCCAAAATGGAACAAAAATGGAACAAAAACGGCCGGTTACGGATTAATCGGTTTTCAATGCATTGTAGGTCAATGGAGACTCGACCTACAGACTTTTCGACCTGCAGCCACCGTTCCAATACGGATTAATTCCATAAGTAGAGGGTCCACTGTAGAATGCTTTAACTGCCTGGGTGAACAAAAATAGAACTCATGGTAATCGATGCTACACTACTTTTCTCTGTTTCATCCTCCCTACCATATTTAAATTATATATTTCCCCTCCAGGATAAAGAAAATGTGGATGCTGTTTCAGTAGGAGCCATTCTTTCAGACTACCAACGAGTTCGCGTGGAAAATGTGTAAGTAAAATAATTTTCTGTTTGTAGCACTAAAGAAGGAAGTCCTGGCAACACTTGTTACTGATTTGATGACTGTGGGCTGCAGCCTTTAACCATGATTTAACTTTAATTGAACAATACACATTTCAACCATGTTAGCATAGTGTAGAATACAATGGATGCCCTACACAGATTTAATTAGATATGCTATTCCTGCAGAGTTCAAGCATTGTATTTTTTCTCTGTGTGTGCATTTATCTCCATCTAGATCCTTGATAGCTTTTTGTGTTATCTTTCATGCAAGGATTCTATGCTGCATGTTTCCTTATTTACTTTCACTAGCCACTATCCAATTTCAGAAGCTGCCCTGGAGATCTGACAAAGTGCTGTTTGTGTATGGGTTCTTTTAAGGGGAAAGGTGGGGTAAAAGTGAATGAATGAATGATTAAATGACCAGCACCTGTCAGACCACCATGGCAGCTTCTGCATTTGAAGTTCCACAAACATAAATATTGAACAGAACAAAATCCTTGTATGTGTTTGAAATGAGTTGATGCTTTGGCTGCATTCCTGGTGAGTAAATAAACGTAACTCACAAGTAGTAGCACTCACTGCATCAAGGTGGAAATGTTGCCTATAAAGTACCTCCGCAGATGTGTTGTGCAGTTGATCAAAATGGGAATCATATGACTTATCACACAATCAAATTGTGCAGTCCTTGTTGCCTGAGTGGAATGTGTGGTGCATTTACGCAGGTGTAAAGTAGCAGACTGGATAGCTTTAGGAATTAGCTATTTGGCTGTGGAGCCAGAGTTTGGGAATTTGATTTGCCTCTGGGGAGAAGAGCCAGCCCTTGGAAGAAAGGAATGCTAAACTACTTCTGTGTACTTTTTACCTAGAAAACCCTGAAAAAATTCAGCATAAGTCAGAATTGATTTGATGGCATATTGTTATCATTATTAAAATTCTGCTGCACTGAGATAAGCATGATTCCAGCCTGTATATGATATGTTAGGATTACTAGTAATGTTAGGTTTTTACTATGATAGTAGTACTTAAGGTGTCTTGTGGGAAAAACACTAAACAAATTTATTTACTTAATAAGGAGTTCCACCTAACTGAGCTGGTCTTATTTGCACTTCTCATTGTGACCTATTGCTTGTAGTGCAGTATGGGTACAAAAAGAGAATTTTTGGCAGCATGCTTTCAGTGAGCTATTTTAAACTTCTGGAAACATTTCACAGTTTAAACATTTTGGTTTTATTCACTGTGGGATGTGTGAGATGCAGTTTCTCTGTGATTTACATAACCATTTCCAAATAGAGCAGACTCTTTCAAGAGTTGCAGCCACCCTAGCTAGTTATTTTATAATATTTTAAGCTCCTCCTTTTCCTAGAAGAGCCTTTAGGTGTTTTCAGGTGAAGAAGGAGTGATTTAATCATGCACTGTTCATTGTTGCCTGCTTTTATCATATTACTTGTAGCTTTGAAATCGCAGTCCAGTATATGCTCCCATGCCCTACTGAAATCAGTGATGCTTAAATCTTGAAATTTCCAAGGAGGTGTCCACAAGTTTTGTCAGTGTACTTGTGCCCTTTGTATGTCTTTATTTGTATTGTAGGTCCCAGTGCGGATCAAAAAACTTCATTTCATGTTTGGTGGCTTAACAAATTATTTTAGTAATGGAAGGTAAAGGTAAAGGTTCCCCTTGACATTTAGTCCAGCCGTGTCCGACTCTAGGGCGCGGTGCTCATCCTCGTTTCCAAGCCATTGAGCCAGCGTTTGTCTGAAGACAGTTTCCGTGGTCATGTGGCTAGCATGACCAGGCACGGAACGCCGTTATCTTCCCACCGTAGTGGTACCTATTTATCTACTCGCATTTACATGCTTTCGAACTGCTAGGTTGGCAGGAGCTGGGACAAGCGACAGGAGCTCACTCTGTCACGTGGATTCGATCTTATGACTGCTGGTCTTCTGACCTTGCAGCACAGAGGCTTCTGCGGTTGAACCCACAGTACCACCATGTCCCTATTTAGAGATGGTACTACAACAATAAACATGCTCTTAGCTGGTGGTTATTTAATTTTTTAAATTATTCTTATTTTATAATACTTTTGGAAAAATTCAGATAACCTTAGATAAAAACGCTGGTTAAAGTACCACTAAGAGAAACTTAAATTACACTTAATGCTCAGGTAGCAGGATGGGTTTCAAAATCAGCACCAGGCAAACATAGCTCCATACATCTAAAGTGCCATAATTTAGGAGTCACCACAGAAAAAGCTCTCTTCAGTAGGCATCTACTTAATTTCAGTGGGATTGATGTTCAGATTAACTTGGGACAGGTGATGCTTTAGGTGTCTCATTGTCAGACTGTGATGCAAAGTTCTCCAGAGAGATTCGTTGCACAAGCATAGGGTTGACTTTCAGAAGAATTTTCATATTAGGATGATTAGGAAAAGTGATACTGGCATATATTTTTTATTTTAAATATATACTTGCTTACAAGATAATTTAAATTTTTCCTCATGAGTTACGTTCCTTGAAATAGGAAATGAAATCAAATCTAAAATCTCCCAAATGTAGGATTTAAATATTTTGTTCATTTAAATAAAATATGTTTATAACATTTTTAATATGTAAAAGACCAAGCAAAGCTAAATTATCACAAAGGCTGCAATCTATTTATTCTCTTGCCCATAGATTCCATTGAACTTACTATCAAGGATGGTTTCAGGTATAGAACTTCACAATGAGTGAAAGTAAGGCATTGAATTATTAAGAGTAGTGGAAGGCTCTCAATGGAACATACCACTGACTGGTGTAGCTATTAAGAGAAATGTATTTGTCATTCATGGTTTCCTGAAAGCTCAGTGACCCAAAGATGATGTTGGATTTTGCATTAAATGTATTAGGTGGGGATAACTGTGGAAGCTCATTTTTAAAATATATTGGCTGAAAACCTCTTGGCTCCTAAACAGAATGATGTCATCATCCAGGAACAAGAATATTTAATGTAAACTAATGTAAAGCTTCCCATTCCCCCCATTCAGGTTCTGTGACTCCCTAGGGTTCTCTTTTGGCCAGGGGAAGCCTTTGGGAGCCTTGGGAGGTGGAGGGAGCTTTAATAGCCAAAAATCATCACCAGGATGTGGACCACCACTGGACTGCTGTCATCTGGTTTATGCAGTGTCAATTTATGCCAACAGGTTTTCAGCCATTGAAACAGCGTCTTAGTCATTTTTACAGATAGCATTTCAATGTTGGTGTTTTGAAGGATTGATATAAGTTTTTCCCCCCACTAAGTTGTCTTCCTCTCACCTTCTTTTTTGAAACTCTGGTGTGTGATTTTGAGACATATTTCTTAAGCCTATTGTGCTGTGGGCTAATCACAGAATTGTTTTTGTGTCAGAATAGGCTCTTTAGCTAGTTTATTTGTAGACTTCTGTCCTTAACTTTGCAGAGGATAGACTTGAAACTTCCTGTTCCTTTTATTTCAGTGTTCATTTGGCACTAAATAATGGGAGAGGTGTTGCCACAGATTTACAATGGATGAAACAAAAAACTGAACTCTTAGGGAAATGCATCTTCCCAAGCAAAGGGAAGAGAAGATGGTAATACAGTGGTGCCTCGCTTAATGAACACCTCGGTTAACGACGAATCCGCTTAGTGACGGATTTTTTGCGATCGCAAAAGCGATTGCATTGCAATGTTTTTACTGGTAAAACATCGCTTTGCAGTGATCGGTAAGCTGTTTTGCTTACCGATTTTCACATAGCGATGTTTTAAAAACAGCTGATCGGCGGGTCGAAAATGGCCGCCGGAAAAAATGGCCACCTGCACTGTTTTCGCGTCTATTCCTCACATACTGGGCAGCGAAAATGGTGGCCGTATGGAGGATTTTCGCATAACTGTGAGTTTTAAGCCCATAGGAACGCATTAAACGGGGTTTAATGCATTCCTGTGGGCTTTTTCTTTTCACATAGCGACGAATCCAGATAGCGACAATTTTTCCGGAATGGATTATCATCACTATGCGGGGCACCACTGTATTCTATTCCTCACATACCGGGCACCGAAAATGGTGGCCGTATGGAGGATTTTCGCATAACTGTGAGTTTTAAGCCCATAGGAACGCATTAAACGGGGTTTAATGCATTCCTGTGGGCTTTTTCTTTTCACATAGCGACGAATCCAGATAGCGACAATTTTTCCGGAATGGATTATCATCACTATGCGGGGCACCACTGTATATTCCCTCCGTTCTATAAACCTTTGTCTTTAACAATATAGCCCACCCATTCCTGTGGAGTATTGCAATGAATTGTCTAAATATACATACAAGTTACAGCTCAGCAAATATGGCTGGGTACAGTAATCCCAAGTGGTGTTTAGTATTCTATTGATATTTTAAGGACTTGTATAACAAAATTTAAAATACTGATGTTATATGCTTGGAAATTTTTTCCATTACTTTGCAAACTCATCTCATGTAACTAGTATTCTTCTTACACTACTGACACTTTCTTGTATGTGACAATTTTTGACATTTTGGTCATATATAGCCCTAAAGGGACACACTGATTTATTTGTTCTCTGTTAAAATAGCTAGCAATAAGTTGGATGACTTAGTAAGTTTTCTTGTATCTATTTGGCTAGTCTTTTTTATGTGGAAACAATATAGTAGTAATATCTGGGCAAATACTAGGCAAAAACTGTTCACAAATAGCGCCTTGGTATATAGAAGTCACTTTGTTGTTTTGTGCGGTGCCCTTCCAGTTGTATACAACTTATATGTGTTTAGAAAATGTACAGATTGTACAAGTTGATGCTAAAGTGGTGTAAATAGAAGTGAAAATGTATTGTAGATAAGATCTCTGATATAAGATAGGTCCTCTGAATGTCCCTTGAGCCAACAATATGCCTATTGAAGCTGCTAAATACTAAGTGCTAATGTGACCAGTAAGCATTTACAGTACATGTTGCAACTTTAAATATTCAATACAGACTATTTAGATATGTCTTCTTTTAATCCTGCTGGCATGTACTTGGATGGATAATCCTGGTTTGATTTGGATAAAGATTATGTTATCTGTGTCTAGAATATAATAACAGTCCATTCTTTCCTTGTTCAAATAGGTGCAAGAGACTTGCCCTGCAGCCTTTAGCTTACCTTTGGCGCCAGGATCAAGAAACTTTGCTTAAAGGAATGATATCATCAAACGTCCAAGCTATAATCATAAAAGTAGCAGCTTTTGGTAAGAAACCAAACTTCGTTAAGAAGAATATATAATATATATAAATATTATTGCCATGGGAATAATATTTAAGATGTACCGAATTAGAGACAATTGTACCAGCTAGAAGGAAGTATGCCGTATAAATATGAGAAATTTCAGTTATGTGACTAAATGTCTAAACAATTAATGGAACTTGTCAACGATGAGTATTTTTCACTCTAGAGATTGAAAGAAGTGAAAGAAACATTTTCATGACCATCATTAAATTTGCTCAGTAAAGGTTTGTACACAGTGCAGTTGTTTATAGTTCAATCATAGATGAGTGACACAAATGGGCTTCTAGATGTTAAACTATCATTGCCATAAAATATAATCAGTTCTGATGAAAGTGTTTAAGTAAAAACTTTAATTAGTTTTATATTTACTGTAGTGAAATGGAGGGGCTTTCTAAAGGAACCCACAACCTTCATTTTGTGAGACCTGGGCAGGATTATTTATGATAGGACCTTTTGGAGGCTATTAATTCATAGAATTGCCATTAAGTTGGCAGCAATTTGATGGCATATAACCACAACAGTAACATTATTAACAGCAAGAAATATGTAACTTTGCAATAAACAGAACAGACCTGCAACTGCAGTAATTTGTGACAGAACAGAAGCCCAATCCTGATTTTCACCACAGGTTCTTTTTTTCCTTTTCTACATCTTCTGTCTTCCACCTTCCATTTTACTTGCTTCCTATCAGATTGCATTCAGGGGTTGTATCCCATTTTATCATCAAGAACAGCTGTCCATAAGCATAAGTTAGAGAGGATACATTTTTAGTCTGAATGTCTGTAGAGCAGCTTGTCCTCTCTTCATAATGGCTGAAATTCTGTAGTTACGTTGTATCTAGAATAGGCCTATTGAATCATCGGAACTTACACAGGAGTTGGTTGTTGTGGGATTTTTTGGGCTCTTTGGCTGTATTCTGAAGGTTCTTCCTGACGTTTTGCCAGTCTCTGTGGCCGGCATCTTCAGAGGACTGGAGTAGGAACTCTGTCCATGCTCTGTTGGTGTTTGTTGGATAGTATTTATAGCTGTGGGAACGCTTTTGTCTTTTTTAGTACAGTGGGGTCTCTACTTAAGAACGTCCCTACTTAAGAACAATCCAACTTAAGAACAGCTCCATTTGCTAAATTTTGCTTCTACTTCAGAACAGAAATCGAAGATAAGAACAGGAAAAAAAACCTTTCCTGCTCTATTTTTAACCTTACGTCATCTTAGGTTAAAAAAAATTCTCCCCCTAGTGGTAGAGTACGTATTAACCAGCTTTGCATTAGTTCCTATGGGAACTAATGCTTCAATGTACGAACGCCCCTCTACATAACAAAAAAACAGCCAGAACGGATTAATTGGTTTTCAGTCCATTCCTATGGGAAATTTTGCTTCAACTTAAGAACGTTTCAACTTAAGAACACCATTCCAAAATGGATTAAGTTCTTAAGTAGAGACCCCCACTGTAGATAGGGTGATCAGCATGTTTTGTTGTGATAAGGGAGTGGTGGGGGGAGAGATAATCTGTTACTGAGATTGATGGGTGTCGTTAGCTGGTCTTTTTTTGTGCAATGATCCCTGGCCTTTGTGGCTGGGTAGAGTTCGTTGACCTTTAGCAGGTTGTATTTTTCAGAATGGGGCTCCAGGCCGTGTTTTGTTCTTCTTTCCTGTTGAAGTTTTGTTTATGTTTATGGATTTCAATGGCTTCCCTGTGCAGTCTAACATACATATTGCTGGTGTTGTCCAGTACTTCCATAAAATACAGATATGGAGGCAGTGACAGATTTTACTTTCTTGGGCTCCATAATCACTGCAGACGGAGACAGCAGCCCCGAAATTAAAAGACGCCTGCTTCTTGGGAGGAAAGCGATGACAAACACCAACAGAGCATAGACAGAGTTCCTACTCCAGTCCTCTGAAGATGCTAGCCACAGACACTGGCGAAACATCAGGAAGAACAACCTTCAGAACATGGCCAAAGAGCCCAAAAACCCACAACAACCATTAGATCCCGGCCGTGAAAACCTTCACGAATACATTACACAGATTATTATTTGAAAGATCCTCACTGATTTGGTGGGCCTACTCTGGTTGTGACTCAGTAATGGATTAAGCCAATGTGTATCAGCACCATTCAGGTTCAGCTACATCCTCTTCTGGAAGAGCACAAACATGCAGCAAACAGATCTATTGTAGTACTGCAGTGCATAATTAGTCAGCCATGCATGATGGTTTGGTTACAACTGCTTTTTCTGAAGATGAGCAAAAAAATTGGAATGCTACTTGCAAATAACTCATTGTAGTACTGTACCAAGCAATTTACTGATCAAGTTTCACATGCAGTACATACCAGTCTAAATCCACTTGTTTGTTCCATCTAGAGTAAATTCACTGAATTAGTTACTGAATGATAAATTGACTTTTGTGTAAATCACATTGATCCAATAAATCTACTGTAGATGGGACTAATAATTGGGAATGTTAGGTCTATTTTTCCAAATATATTCAGAAGAGTATGATTTCACCACAGAGTTCAGAATCAACACAGTTTTATTTTCAGTGGCCATGCTGTGATTTTAACATTGAACTGACCTATTATGGAAGATGGTTTGACCGGTCACAGAGATATGTCCTACACATTATTGAAGTCAGGTTTTATTGAATGGTGTGTGAGTTCTCTAACTACACAAACTGATGAGAAACATATTAATAGGTCAATACATCATTTTAGAATTACAACCCTCTGAGCTGTATTTCACATAAAAGTATTAGATGAGGTTTTAGGTGTAAAATTTGATAAAAGGACCTTTTTCCTTTTGGGGTCAGTAGAGGTTTGTGGCCCATTAGACCAAAGAATGACCAGCATAATAGGAAAGAATCTGTTCTACATGGGTGGATAAAATATATATTTCTGATAAATTGTGTTGTATAATCTTGGCATGAATCAAGTCTCATCATGTTCTATGAGGTGAACCATTGCTGTTGAGCATTTAATGCTTTCTTCTTCATATTCTTTTAAAATAGGAGTTCATGTCTTGAGGGTACCATTGGTAAGAGCTAACAGTGGAACTTCAGCTTCACTATTATATATAAAATATATTATGTTGGAATTTGAGTATCTATTAGAAGAAGTAATAAAATATTAATTCTTCCTTGGCTGTGATGCTTTGCCAGAATCATTTTATTTTTACAACACTTCTGGTGTGAACTGTAAAATGAGAACATTCTACATTCATTCTGTGCATTTGTAATGTTTATACAGAGGAGGAGAAATTATTAGAAAAAATCTGTCTTCGATCACAAATTACAGCAGATATTTTTAGATGGCAGGATTTGATGCTTCTTCTTTTTTAAAGTACCTATGTCTTGCAGCATGCTTCTTGGCTTTAGTTAAATCTAGTATTTTTGAAGTGGCAAGGCAGTATCTGTCGCTTAGATTCCAGGAACTTAAAAGACTAATTTATAGTGTGAATACCACAAAGCAAAAGCATTGTAAATTATTGGTATATGCATAGAATATCTGTTGAAACCAACATTCATACTGTTTGTTATTTGTGACAATTGTGTTACTGCCAGCTTGCTAATTAATTACTGATGCCTACCCAATATATAAACTGTGGTTTTTCTTCACTCTTTGTGAACCTATGGAACCAAACGATTTTAAAATACTATACAAATACAAATATATTAAAACCAATTAAAATTAAAAAACCACAAAAATGTCCACAAAAGTTCACATGGAGATGGTTAGTCTTTAAGGTGCCACAACATTTTTGGTTTCTATTCCTTGTTTTTATTTTTATTTTTTCTGGATATGGATGCTCAACCTAACATGGCTGCTTTTTTGAAAGCTTCGTAATAGTTCAGTAGCTATACTATCTGGTCACCAAGATGCATTCTGTGGTAGCCTCTTTCATGCAGCTTGTTATACATGTGTTTTCCTTTGCAGGTAGCTTCAACCAGTAAAGAATGTGAGTGTGAGTATCCTCACACCACCATTTAAAACAATTATACAGAAAGTTGCTTTGCACCCTGTAGTGCAAGGGTGGGTATACTTATCCAGGGCTGAGGGCCATTTTGTCAATTTGCTGGCAGCCCAAGGGATAAACAGCAAAGGATGAGGTGCTAAGAAAAGAGGGACAAGCCAAAGAGGTTAATTTGCATATATGTTTTTAATTTTTTAAGAAGAGATTGCGAGAATGAATTTTTACTAACTCAAAAATTTTATTACCTTAAAAAATGGAATAGGCTGCTTTAAACCTTCTAGTGACCAACATTATTAATTAAAATGTAAAGCAGTTCTATGACCCCCGTGGAAACAATGCAAAATTGCCCCCGTGATATGTAGAAGGCATAAAAGGACTGGCTAAGAATTTTTTTATTATTATTTGAAGTTTTGGGAAGGCGTGGAGTTCTGGGAAGGGCCGCAAGGATACCACTGGAGGCTGCATAGGGCTCATAATCTTCATGTTGATTACTATAATGTAGGGTTTTGGTGCCAGTTTTGCTACATTTTGCTTCGTCAAGTTGTCTTCAGCTGATGTGGATAGGGAATGTGTGAACTCTCAGACTTGTGAAATTATCACACCTCTGTGATGCTGCTTGATTTTGCCTCTGTGGGTACTCTTCCTTTGATTTAAGACCTCCAGAGATGGCTTTTTCTGTTCAAAACACTATCTGTATGCTCTGCTGCAAGTAGGAGGAGACCCTTTTCTTGTGGCTTGGTTGTGTAATATTTTCTCCTAACAGAGATGAGACCAACTCCATCTCTCTTTCAGGTTTCTGATTGCTTAGAATTTAAAGTCAGGATATCACACTGTGTTTTTCTTATCTCTCTCTATATATGGCAAGTCCCTAAAGAAATGGGAGTGCCTGACCACCTTATCTATCTCCTGAGAAACCTATATGTGGGACAGGAAGCAACAGTTAGAACTGGATATGGAACAACTGATTGGTTCAAAATTGGGAAAGGAGTACGTC